TGTAACCAAGTAAAAGCTTATGTGTGCTTTCAGGGAGTTAATCATTGAGTAAAACCTCATCAGAATACAAGTCAGACTGGTGTGGCATTAAAATACAATACTTCAAGTGCTCCTGGTGATGTGTGAAGCCAGGCTCGGTGGCTCACACCTGTAATCCCAGCACTTTGGGAGGCTGAGGCAGACAATCACGAGGTCAGGAGTTCGAGACCAGCCTGGCCAATATGGTGAAACCCCGTCTCTACTAAAAGTACAAAAATTAGCCGGGCATGGTGGTGCACACCTATAGTCCCAGCTAAGCGGAAGGCTGAGACAGGAGAATTGCTTGAACTCAGGAGGCAGAGGTTGTAGTGAGCCAAGATAGTGCCACTGCACTCCAGGCTGGGCAACAGTGCAAGACTCCATCTCAAAAAAAAAAAAAAGAAAAAAGAAAAAGTGTGTGCAAAGGTAGCTTCAGGTCATGGCCACATGTGAAGGTGCACATGAACAGAGCAGAAAAGCTGGGGCAGAGAGGAGGGACACATGGGCTTGGGAAGGGGATTCAAAGTAGGATTTAGAGCCCTGGAAGGGAAGGATAAATGGCAGATGCAGCAGGCGAAATGATGTGAAGGAAAGGGTAGGGAAAGCTTCCAGTGGCTCTCAGTCGAAAAGCAAAATCCTGACTCTTTCCCACAAGGGGCATTACAGACAGTTCACCTCCGCATCTCTCGGACTCTGGTTCCTGCGGGCTCCCTGAGCACTCCTTCCTACTGGCTCTGGCCACCCTTCTGTCCCCCACTCACAAGCCTGTTCCCACCTTAGGCCTTGGCACTCACAGCTTCCTATGCCTGACTGCTTTCCCCACACTGCATCAGGTCTCTTTTCAAATGTCACCTGGCACCAGGCTGTCCCTGACCATACTACATCACCTAGCAGCTGCACACACACCCCCATTGCTTCCCATGGCCTCTATCCCACCCTGCTTGGTTGTCATGGGTCTGACGTGCTGCATATTTTCTAATTTGTTTCTGTTCATCTAACTCCGCTGTAACAAATCCCAGGAAGCTAGGAGCTCATTTGTCCGCTGCTGTGCCCACTGACCAGAGCAGTGCCTGGTAACAACAGCTGGTGGGTTTCTGTCTGGAGTGGAAGAAAGGCGCAGGCCTCCGGGTGGGGTGGCAGACACACAGCTCTAAAGCCCCTAAATCCCAAAGCGTTCAGCACTTGTTTTCCTGGCAGCTCTAAAGTAAGAGAACCGATCATTTATCAGCCATCGGGAAGAATGGTTTTCAATCGTATCATTTGCTCTCTTTCCCTGAAAGGTCCCCAGTCCCAAGCGGAAGTTGGAAGAACCAGTTCTGGAGTTCAGGCCTCCCCGAGGAGCAATCACTCAACCATTGAAAAAGCTGAAAATCAATGTGTTTAAGGTTCACAAGTGTGCCGTGTGTGGCTTCACCACCGAAAACCTGCTGCAGTTCCACGAACACATCCCTCAGCACAAATCCGATGGTTCTTCCTACCAGTGCCGGGAGTGTGGCCTTTGCTACACGTCTCACGTCTCTTTATCCAGGCACCTCTTCATCGTACACAAGTTAAAGGAACCTCAGCCAGTGTCCAAGCAGAATGGGGCTGGGGAAGATAACCAACAGGAGAACAAACCCAGCCACGAGGATGAATCCCCCGATGGCGCCGTGTCAGACAGAAAGTGCAAAGTGTGCGCAAAAACTTTTGAAACTGAAGCTGCCTTAAATACTCACATGCGGACACACGGCATGGCCTTCATCAAATCCAAAAGGATGAGCTCAGCCGAGAAATAGCCACAGATGCTCCATGAGGAAAATCCCTGTCCACATTGGAATAAAAAAGACATTTTTGTTACAAAAGGTTTGCAGTATAATAGAGTTAACAGTACTGTCTAGGCTGTTGCAATATATTCTCTTTCAACGTACCTTCCTTCACCTCGTCGTATATATCCTCGATAAGTATTAAAACAGTATTTGAGTTTCAAAGAGTTTGTATATATTTAAATGAATAACTTTTTATACTCTACTCTTTGTTACATGTTTGTATCAGTATTTAGTGGAAAACCATTTGAGTTGTTTTGGGTTAGAATTTTTCTTTTTGTACTGTTTCTTTAAAACAGAGTTCTTAGTAACAGGGGCAGTTCCTGAATTCAAATAAACCATTTTGTATGTTTGGATTTTGAATGGGTTAACTAATTACAGGCTAAAATAATGCCTTTTTTAGTGTTTTTAATTTTTAGAATTCACTACATAAATTGTAAGTAATTGTGGGTCTCAAAAACACTAGGAACTTTTAAGTGTCTTAGCACTTCCTCGATGTGCCTGCCCTGAGGGAGTGAGTTCACATTTGAGACAACTGCGCTCCACTGTGGGCGTGCCTTTGTCTTCAGGCCACGCCGAAGGGTGTTTAAAGTAGCCTTGCAGGTCGCTTCTTTCCCAGGGGTGGATAAAAACTGAAGCCAGGAATCTAATAAGGAATGCTGATTTCCTCAATTCTGTTTTGAGGAATGGGGAAGGCTATTTTTTTTTCTGGGCAGATCTGCAAGGCTGGCTTTAAGAGCACAAGGAGGGAAAGTAACGAAAGGGCTGGACTACTATAAAAGTTACAAATACGTAGTTAGACCAATAGATTTATATAGTCAGGTTTTTGTCATGTAATTTATTAACTATTACAGAAACACAACTAAGAATATCAAGTATTTCTCTGGCTCTTGACAGAAAACAAATCAGTTGACTTAACCCTTTGCTGTCAAAAGAGTTGGCGTTTCCTGTTCTGGGTGCTACTGCCAAACGTTCTGGTACTTAGAGTCGGGATGCACAACTTCCACCACCGACTTATCAACGCAGCCGCCTGTGTATTGCAATTGGCCGTTACCTTAAGCACTGAGCCACCCGGGTTTAGTTCAGCCATTTCAAGAGTATATTTAACGTCGGTAGTTCTGCTTTATTAAAATGCAGCAGAGGTACTCTTCTGTCCCTTCCGTTTAGAGTTCTCTGAGAGAGTTCTATTTTTTGGTTTCGTTTTGTGTTTTCTTTTGCATTTTTATATCTTGTATTTATCCCTGAACATGTTTTGTACTTTTTTTTTTTAAGAAAAGGAATTCTTTTGTGTATATATAGATACTTGCATGATATACTGTAGTCAACGTTCGGTTCCTCGAAAGGTCTTGCTGCTGTCAGGTGTTATGCACTCCATCCATCACAACTGTATGAAACACATTTCATATGTAAATAAACGTGGGACATTTGGCCCTTGTGCTTCTGTGAGAGAGTTATTGACGGTGGGTCTCTGACATCTTTGTGAAGCTTGGGAAGTGATTAATTGCAGGGACAAGCTACAGGATGTTGCAGAATTCTTCCCACTCAGAAGAATGGCATATTCGTTCTCATTAGTAATCGGCTATTTTGTCACTTTCTCGTTGACTCCATCAGTACATCAGTACAATCCGAGGGTGTGAATTTCAGCTTGAAATTCCATTGCTGTTACTTGTTATGGTTGTATTGCTCTAAGTTGTATTCATAGCACTTTCATGTTTCTGCATTTGAACCTTGCAATAAGCCTGTGTGGTAAGCCACATAGGTCCGAATAACCTACTTTTACAGTTGAGGAAGCTGAGCTCAGATTCAGTTATTTGCCGAAGCCCTCGTAGCTGGTAAGTGGCTTTGCATATTAGAACCCAAATATTTTGCTTTCTAAATCTAATGCTCGCTCTATGTGGTTATGTACATATTGACAAATATTCATTTATTCAACAAATAAAAAGTATGTACAAAACATGATACAGAATTTTTGTTTTTGGCACTATGACTTTATAAATAACCTGAAAGTCTTTCTACTCTTAAGTACCCAGAGATGCTTAATATAAAACTAACACCTGTTAAATGCATAGGTGAGAAAACAAAGTTTTTAAAAATATCCAGAGGTCCAAAATGAAGAAACTAAAATCTAGATTCCAGAAAAACACTACACAATGCTGTAACCCTGGGGGAAAACCTGGATTGTTCAGCTGAAGAGGGAATTGGTAAACTGGAAGATAGCCCTTGAGAAAATTAGCCTCAGCACAGAGATAAAGTGACATTTCCAATATGAAAGAGAAGTTAGGAATCAAGAACAAAATGAGAAGATCTAGCTTCATTTTAATGGAAGTTCCAGAAAGGGGGACTAGAGAGAACTGGGAAGATAGTGTAGAAAATCTTAGCTATTGGCCGGGCGCGGTTGGTCAAGCCTGTAATCCCAGCACTTTGGGAGGCCGAGATGAGCGGATCACAAGGTCAGGAGATCGAGACCATCCTGGCTAATATGCTGAAACCCCGTCTCTACTAAAAAATACAAAAAAACTAGCCGGGCGAGGCGGTGGGCGCCTGTAGTCCCAGCTACCCAGGAGGCTGAGGCAGGAGAATGGCGTAAACCCGGGAGGCAGAGCTTGCAGTGAGTTGAGATCGTGCCACTGCACTCCAGCCTGGGCGACAGAGCGAGACTCCGTCTCAAAAAAAAGAAAAGAAAATCTTAGCCATTAATGAAAGACATTAATACTTGGGTCAACAGTGAATGCTCGACAAAAATCATGCTGGGACATAAATTCTGCCCATTCTTCATTAGTTGTAGATGCTGGGTGTGTGCATTTGAGGAGGAGTATAATGTGAGGTATGCTCAGTTCTTAGGAAGTCTATATACTCTTGAGTGCAGAAGTGAGAGCTAAGCCTGAAAGAATAGGCTTAGGCCAAGTTGGAAAAACCCTTGAATGAGGCCAGGTATGGTGATTCACACCTGTAATCCCCATAATTTGGGAGGCCGAGGTAGGTGGATCACCTGAGGCCAGGAGTTCACGACCAGCCTGGCCAACATAGTGAAACCTCATCTCTATTA